AATAATTTTTACATGTCGTTAACCTGTCGGGTTACAAGATCCGGTTAAGTAAAATCTCAGATCAGACTTTAAACAGCTATTACGTAACTGATCGTGGTGGTTATGCTAGGTTCGTGCACCCACTATAGGAATCGGAGGTTGCCAATAAATACTGTATACTTAATAATCATGGCCATAAGTAATATTTCAAACATTACCGAATATCTTTTTCTAATCATAAATGAAAGACAAATGCTATGTAATAAGTAAATTGGTTTTGCATATTCCAGAATAAATATTGAATTCATCTTACTTGGTAGATGACATATCGACGTCTATTATATGAGCTTTTGTACGCAACTGTACTTTTTCCAAGTGGACTATATGAAAATAAAAATTATAATAAATACAAATAATAATTAACGTATAACGTAAACCCGGAAATAGTCAAAAAAAAAAAAAAAACTCACATTGTATCATATGGAAGTTTTTCTAAAAATTCTTTCAGACTTTTTTTTGCCTTTGATTTTCCGTTTGTAACTTTCCTCACTATCCAAAGAATTACTTAACCTCACTATTATATGAGACTCTCCATAATCTTAACTCTGGCAGTTAGCCAATCCAAATATTCTTGTGTATTCATTTGATACCTTCGGTAGCATTTTTGACCTTGTGAACTATTAATTCGCGTTGATGTTACTTAATGCTTATAGTTGTGGTCGATAAATTTGAATGTAGTGTATCAAGGAAATGTATCAAGGGAATGTGTAATTTAAAAAAAAATTTAAGGGAAACGTTGGAATAATTATAGAATCTATTATCATATATCATGATACAATATGGTGAGAAAAGTAAATGTATATATTTCGTATAAAGTATGAGTTTTACTGCTAATTGAAACAAATAATTTGTTATTCGATCTTATCGTCACATGATGTCTGCGAGCCCGAATTGCTATCGCTATGTATTGTATTAAAAATAAATCACCCAATAAATTTCAAGAGATCTAGCCTGATTCACTAAACTTTTCAAAATTAAAATAACGTTTTCAGATCCATTTTTATCAGCCTTGTCTAATGGAGTATGTCCATTAGAATCTTTTAGCTTGGGATTAGCACCATGTGATAATAAAATATCAACAATTTCCGAATTATTGATTATACGTACGATGGGTGGCTAATTAAATTTAGTAAATTGTAATATGCATTTACATAAGTAAAAATATGCTAATAGTTAATTTACAATATCGATATACTTACGGTTGACAAAAGTTCTGGAGTTACGGCATTTACGTTACCACTTCGAGCTGCATAATGCTATACGAATAGTTAAAAATCAGAATTTAGCAAATTCCAATGTCAAATTGCAATAAACAACAAAAAGAAAAAAAAAAATTAAATTGTAAGAAAATATTTTTTAAATACCAAAGGAATATATCCAGCGGCGTCAATTTGATTCGTAATTGCGCTACCTTTCTTTGAAATAATTGACTTGCGAAATATTACCAGTTAAAGACGCATTATGTATTGATTTTTGAAAATCCAATGTCTAAGTTTTGAGCGTACAGTGGTCGTGAGAACAAGATTTGATGCGAACTGAACCACAATCATCTTATATAGAAGTTACTCTACACCAATGAAAAAAGAAAATAAATTAAGTGCACATACATTAAACTACGTAGAGATTTGAGTTGGTTAGGATAAGAGTTTTTTGAGACAATTAATAAGGTATATAGTATTAAAAGATGTAAAAAAAAATATTAACAATGTATTAAAATAAAATTTATAAGCCTTAATTAAATTTGTAAATAATAAAATATTAAATTTACTTACACATATGTTTAAGAGAGACCGCTGTCTCTTCTCTTTCGTGATTAATTTCTTTTAAGCCTACATTGATATATATGTAAAATAAAAAGAAAAAAAATTTTGGTAGCGTAGATATTCGTTATTATTAATTCAAACTATATTAAGTACTGTATTGCATAAATTTATTTCATAATTTCAGCAAAAGTTGCAAATTTATTTCAAAGCATTTCAAAGTATAATAATTATCTATTTACATCCTAACGGCCAACCACAGAAGTCAATTATGCATTAGATATTCAAAAGATTACATTAAGTCATGTACCAAATTCAATTATTTATGGTGTATTCATAGTTCTTGGTATTGACTTCTTCCAGTTCGATTTTTTCCAAATTGAAGCCTTCATGTTTTTGGTTGATTTGGCGTTTTTTTTTATGTTATTAATACATACCAAAGTCTGTTGAACTGAATACTATACTTTATTTAGCATTTTGAATATTAATTATATACTGATTATGAAAAATTTTTATACATACTGTTAGTTTTTTAAAAACTTCATCCATAGAGTTATGTTCAGCCTTTACAGGAATAGTAATTTCTTCAACTTTTCTTACTCGGTACAGATCAAATCCAGGTTTGTCAAGACACAATATTTTCATCTTAAATCCTAAAAAGTTGGTCAATTTTACTGAAAATATATAAAACTTTGAAAAAAGAATTGTAAACTAGCAATTACCTGTAATTTGAACACCATAAATTTCAAGTTTTTTAAATGATTCAACATTAAACGATGAATACTTTTTAAAAATTGCTTTGGAAATTCTATCATGAATGTCTTTTAACATTCGTATTAACTTTTTACGATCTATCAATTATATAATATATGTTTTTTAACAGTTTTTTGATACTTAAAATTTAATACACAAAGTTAATATCATACTTTTGTTTGTTTTCTTACTTTTCTCGTTCCATGGTGAACTTGACACCTCTCCTACCAATAATTCCAATTTTTTTTGGAATAACTTGTTTCTAGACAAAATTGAAATGTCAGGTTTTTTGCCAATTTTTTGTTATTTCTATTATAAAAATAATGTTATTAGTTATTATTTCCATTAATATCAGCTTTAAAAGTATTACAATACTTTTGTATTTGGGCTTTTATCATCTTCTTCTTTCTTTGAATCATCTCGTTTTCTTTTTTTAGGGTTATTTTCTTTGTCTAATTCTGTGCCAGAGCTTTTATAATTCTTACGTTCGCTGGATGCTTTGTTAGATTTTTCTGGCCTGAAGATTTATTAATTATATTAAAATGTAAAATAAAAACAAAAAAAGAAAAACAAAAAAGAATATAATATTCGAATTGTTAAATATAATCCATACATTATGAGGATAGTATCGGGAAAAGTTCTTAATGAATATTTAAGAGGTATAGATATAGCATCCAATTGCCAGGTTCCTTCATTAATTTCACTTTTATATGTTTTATAATCTTTCGTAGACCTTATCCATTTACTAAATACAATTAATGTTAATTTTTATTTATTTATTTTTTAGCATAATTTTTTAATATATACTTAAAAATGATCATTTATTAATGCACTCTCAAACTTAAAAAGTTTTTTACTTTTTTTATTTAATTTGTTATAAGAACAACTACTGTTGTCTGATATTTTCTTCCATTCATCATCTGAAAATTCATCCTTAATCCAATCTGAGGGGTTTTTGGTGTCGATGATTGATGAATAAATCAGTTCATCATAGTTAAGATTGAGAGATTCTAAATCAATATTTTTTATACATTCTTTTATATGATCATGCATATCACTGCTTCCAATTTTCTATGGATATGATTTGAGATTTTCTTTCTAAATAAAAGTAGTAAAAAATTTCTTTATTAGATACTAAATAATTTCTCTATTAGTGATAATCAAATATTATATAATCATACCGTTACTTCATCACTAATGATTGTTATTTTATGCTTGACCTGGTTACGATCCGGATTGTCATTCTCTTTACACTAAAAATAAGATCATAGTTAGCCACATTATATTATATACCGGTATATATCTATGCTATAATTATTAATACAAATCAGATATGTATAATAACTCGTTATATGAATTTACTATTCTAAGAAACGTAACCAATCTCTCTTCCAAAACTAGTAGACCTTACAATAGCAAATTCGGGGGGCTAATAACACACTGCCGCAAGGTTGCAAATGTCTTGAAAAGAACAAATGGCCTAAAAAGTACTAACAGCGTATTATTGTAAATAATAGCACATCATCGCAAGACGCAAGTCTAAAAAGTGCTAGTGACATACTACTACACTATCCCTTACACCATCTTACACCGTCTTACATGCAAATTTGCCTAGAAACTTTATGATTAATATGTGATCAAGCTATCAAATTATATTTAAATGTAGTCTAAATTGCAATAGATTCGTAAGGGATAATAACAAGATACTATATAACTTTTTATCATCATATATCATATATAATAACTAAAATCGATCAACAGCAACTCTTTCCGACGATCACTTGGTCAACAACAATTTATCGAACTACAGTCAGCGATATAGGAAAGCAACATAGTGGATACAGCAATATTCTTGGTTTTGCACTAAGCAAACTTGT